GTGGGTGGGGTTCCTCACTTGTCCGGTCCACAGTAATCCCCACCTATGATTAAATGATCCTCATGGTAATTCCTTAGCTCATTATGTAGCTAAACTCTTTCTGCTCCCTGATTTGGGGCATATATGTTTACGAAGCAGATTACAGAGTTCTTTATTTCTGCCCAACCAACAGCCGACCCTTCACCACTTCAGCAGAAGATAAAACTGTTGCATTTGCAGTTGCTCTGAACAGAACAGCGACCCATGCATTGAAGTTAGTGCCATGGCTGAGGGCACACAGACCCTCCCACCATAAATTCGAGTCTACCTCGTTTGCTGGATTACTGTGCGTTACTTGTAAAAACAACATCCTTTTCTGAGTAGAGACTTCAGATATTAATTTATGTCCGTCTCTCCCACCATTAATGTTTAAAGATCCTAATTTTAGGCATGTAGAGGTCGGAGAGGAGAAACAGGTACAAAGAAAACAAACAAGGAATGGTAAAAAGAGGAAATCACAGTGTGGTACATGGTCATGTTACCTTCTTGTCCTTTTTGCAGTTTTATCTTTTATTGCTTTTCTCAGAGTAGTGAGATGTTTTTTCAGACGGAAGCGTTTCTTTTCATCCAATAAGTCAAACCCAACCAGTTTTTTTCAGTACATTGACTCAGTGTCTGTCTGCACTGATGGAAGCTTCCTCAGTGTCTGCAGACTGAGAATTACTCACGTTCTCTGCAGCCACAGAGGCCTGTTGCTCCTCAGGGTTGCTCTGTTCTACCATAACCAAATCATTAGTGTTACAATGTGAACCAGTGGCACACGCCGGCTCCAGGCAGGGACATGCCGGCAGCAGGTGCAGGCAGATTATAAACAGTCATACTGACCTGAGAGCAGCAGTCATCTCAGAGCTTGTCTGTCTATCAGCTGTTTAACTGCCAGGACAAACGTCACCATGGTAACCTGAAGGACAGACAACCAATCACAAACTAGAACTCAACCTTACAATCAGACACTGAGCACCAATGTCCCAGCATGCACTCTGACAGACGGACCGTGAGGACCGCGGCAACAGGTCCGACAGCGCTCCATATCCCAGAGTCCTGAACGAACAACCAGCAGAACTCTGAGCTCCCAAAACCACCAGGATCCAGACCCAGAGAAAGACCTGAACCAGGAGAAGAGGGAAGAAACCATGTTAGCATGTTAGCACAGCTTAGCAGAAAGACTGGAAGTGGGGGGAAACTGTTAGCATTCACTGTGTACTTTACAAGTTATGAATTCCTGGTGTTCCAGGATGTCTTCTCACCTATGATGAAGGCAGGGAGGCCACAGCCAATAGCGTAATAGAAGGTCATGTGACGGTGGTTGATGTTGCGGATCTCAGTCATCATGCGGTAGACGTGCAGCTCCTCCACCAACATCCAGCAGAATGAACACATGTGGCAGTAATGCAGCAAGATGGCCGCCAGCCTGCACACGGACTGGTTCTGTGTTTGGTCAATGGCAAGCAAGAAAAAGAGCTGCGACAGGAAGACCGAGGTCACCTGGTTGAGGTGGATGCTGTGCAGGTTGGAGCGCAGGTCTGTGAGGACCAGGAGGAGGACAAAGGTGACAAGGAGGAGCAGCAGCGAGGAGGAGAAGCAGGTGAAAGTGACGAGCCTCAAAGGAAGAACATCCTCACGCTGACGATAAAAACAGTGTAAACTTTATTTACACTTCAAACAGGTTAACTATATTCAGCTTACTGTGTCAAGTGGACGTGGCCCTACCTCTCTCCTGGAAACATCCATCACCACAGCAATGCTGGATGGCTCAACACAGCGACAGGTGACGTGAGTTTGATTACTGCTGATCAGATGACAACCTGTGGAAGACCAACTGCTGGTCCTGTTCACCCTGAAACACCAGAAAAACTGTCAGCCTTGCACAAACTTCACAGACAGACCACAATATGTCAGATGTGGTGATGAGCATCACTGGCACGCTGCAAGGAACCGTACTGTCACCGTTTCTGTTAACCCTCTACACCTCTGACTTCTGTTCCAACTGTGGAGCGTACCACCAACAGAAGTTCTCTGATGACTCCTCAATTGTCGGCTGTATCACAGATGATAGGGAGCAGGAGTACAGAGACCTGATCCAGAACTTCCCTAGATGGTGCGACAGAAAACACCTACAGCTCAACACAGGGAAAACCAAAGAGCTGGTGGTGGACTTCCGGCGCAGCAAGAGGACCCCCTCCCCAGTTGAGATTAGGGGGGAGAAGGTAGAGATGGTGGACACCTACAAGTTCCTGGGGGTGACACTTAACAATACCCTCTACAGCAAAGGACTGTTCTTTCTGAGGACGGTCAGGTCCTTCGACGTGTGCACATCGGTATACGGATGTTTCTACCAGTCTGTAGTGGCCAGGGTTCATCTTCTCCACCAGTACCTCCAACCTCTAAAACCACAGCTCCCAGTACCTCCAAACCTCCACAACCACAGCACCTCCACTGACTAAGACTGATTTTAGTTCAACCTAACATTATTTGTCTTAAGTTGCACAACAGTTTTGTTTTAGTCAAGCTGCTTAAAATATTTTGCACTCAATTGTACTGCACATTACATATAGTGTATATGGTAAATGGACCTGTACTTGTATAGCGCCTTCCAATCTTCCAACCACTCAAAGCGCTTTTATACTACATGCCACATTCACCCTTTCACACACACACACATTCACACAGCGATGGCAAAGCCCATCGAACAGAAACTAACTCATTCATACACATTCACACACCGATGCACAGCATCGGGAGCAGTATCTTGCTCAAGGATACTTTGACATGTGAAACCAGGAGCCGGGGATTGAACCAACAACCTTCCAATTAGGGGATGACCCGCTCTGCTTCTGCGCCACAGCCGCCCCAAAAACAGAACAAAACAACCCTCCTCAACCCCATTCACCTCCAGTACTGAGCTCAACAGAGTTCACTCCTCACCACATCCAGATCTTCAGCCAGACCTCCTTCCCATCACTGTCACCAGTGTCTAGACTCCATCAAGGGATTATATTATTCACAGCTACACCAACCCCTTGTCAAATATGGTGGCACGGTGGGGTCTCATTGCCAAAGACTTTTCTCCTTTCTCATGTGTTCATGACAATCAATATATTTCCTCAATCAGAACTAAGTCTGTCCTGATTGAACTACCATCTAAAAATATTGCTAGAATCAGAGGTAGTAATGTCCAAGCAAAATCTAGAATAGCCTTTAATACCAGTAGATTGTATTACTGAAATTATCTCTTTATAGGGATTTCAAAGAAAGCTCTTAGTCAACTCCAACCTATTCAGAATGCTGCAGCCAGGGTCCTTGCTAAAACTAGGAAATACGACCACATTAGACCAGTTCTAAAATCCTTACACTGACTTGTCACTCAGAGGATTGACTTCTCCTGAGAATAACTTTTATTATGATTTGGCAATATATAAATAAAATTAAAGTGAACTGAATTGAATTGCAATGGAAAAAATATATCTTCTTAATTTAGCCTGTGAATAGCCCCTCATTTTTATTATTTTAATTTGTTTGAAATGTTATTAAATTGTGCATCTAAATGTGGGAATTAAATTGCACAAATGTACTACTTTTCTCTTTTGTATCGCTTGCCTTTACTTTTGCATTTTTAAAGTTGGAAATCTATTGTCTTTGCATTACTTTTATCACCCTGTAAAAGCACATTCAATTTAATGTGCTTTTATAACACATTTTATAACACATTGTTATGCAAATAAAGTTGCCTTGTTTCCCTTGTAGGTATATTTACTTGTATCTTATTTGAAATGCTAAAGAGAAGCAGCAGACAGCACTACTTGTGTCCCTCAACCGCTTTCTTCACTTGCCTACCAAATAGAACATGGAAATTATGAAAACCAAATAGAACATGGAAATTATGATGATCCAGTAGAAGTCTTATTAAAAGATGATAATTTTAAACATCTCGGTTTTTAAAATACAATGGACACACAAAAAAAAAACCTTGTAACACAATTGAGGCTCAGCAGAGGAGGCATCAGGTTATGGACTGTTCCTGCAGTGGAAAAGGGTTATATTTGGACCATAATTACTGGGTGTTAAAAGTGCTGTATACCCATCACAATCTGCAGTATTTGCCTCTGCAGTGCTTCAATTAGCACTGTAACAAACCCACCCTTTTATTTTTTGTGTTGTGTGAACATTGGCATTGAATTAGCTAATATTAATTGTCATGCTATACCATTTGTAAAAGTGCAAAATGCTCAGTAAGAAAACAAATAATAGTAATAGTAATTGTGATGTGCCTCTGCATATTTGGAGAAGGTGCAGTTAGGCTTAGGGTCAGGGAAACATGGGAAGTTCAGACAGTACTCCATACTTCTCTGCTTCTTTTTCTCATTTTAAGGATGAAAACATAAATAAAGTGAATGAATTACACATTCCTTACATTTTCTTCAGATATTGGGGCTGTGGCCAAGCTGACAGCAACAATGATAAGGCAGGTGAGAGCCAACAGGATGAGGGCAAAGTACAGGTAATGGACATCAGCCAGGATAGCAGGCCGATGATCAGGTTGACCACAGGAAGGAGTTACATAAGAGAACTCCAGAACCATGCGGATCAATCCCACCACTAGTCCAGTCATCAGACCCCAGAATGCACCCTAAGAAACACATACCTAAAATATTAGCTGCAGAGTCATGTGGAATTGGAAAAAAGCCAATACTTAAATGAAAAGAGTCGTAAGATTTTTTTTTTCATTATCATTTTGAACATAAACATGGCGACTGCACAGAGGTAGTATCTACAGTGGAAATCATTGCATCAAGCATAACTCTGGCTTTACACTTCTACAGGGTGTATCTTACTAAATGAATTAGTGTCTACTCAAATTACACAAATTACTACAAATTAATGGACACACTCATATTCTATATACTCATATACTATACCCATATTAGTGGGGGATAAGGAATGTTTTTGCCACTTTTGCCAAGTGTAAAACATGTTTTTGTTTAGGTGTAGGTAACGCATGATTATTATTATTATGGTAATTAATGATTAGTAAGTTTACCAATCATTTGCAGATATATATTCTTATATGGGGTTGGGGCACCTGCCCTAACACATTTTTGATATCTTTTTTAATCAATATTCTTTTCTTAGCAGCATTTGTTGTGAGGACCCAATTGAAATGCAAGGAATCATTTTTCTTCCAAAAGCATCTCAATTTTGGGGGCTGCAACATGCTCAAAAACACCAAATTCAGTGATAGTGGAAATTTACTCTATATAGGCATCGCATGGCTTAACTACACCTGCTAAATTCAGCCCCAGGACACGTTTGGTACTGTTTTTTAAAAAGTTGCAAAATATAGATACACACAACTCTGACTGTTGCGCTGCTATGCATGAGAGGAGATGTAGGCTAAATAAGGTGAAGAATATCAATATTCATGAACACCAGTACCTCAAATGCATACCCACCTACCTAACTTACATTCTACCTAATCTAGTTAACCTTAGTGAGGTGTAGAAGCAGGTGTGGTGTTGAGTGAAAGTACAATGGTCAGGTGTGTTGCAGTATCAAGTAACGTCTGACACTACACCTTACACTTCAGAATAGAATATTTCTAGGTATGTGTAGAGGCATGTGAGAAATGAAGGCTGTTTGAATCTGTGAAAACTGTTTTTTACCACCCTATCACAGGTTAATAGTTAGCAAACCACTAAATTCCATTTGAAATCTCCAGGTCTAAATGTAGAGTAGAGAGAGACTTTAAATTTATGTAGTATTGAAAGATTTGTTCCCTCTTCCATATGACCATTTTGGACTACCAAAAAAATACATAATACTAATACTAATAATAATAATAATAATAATAATAATAATGTCGTAGGAAACTAGTCATATCTAGTTATATCAATGTGTGTAGGTGTGGTTAATTGGCTAGTTGTGAATACCGATCTTTCAAGGAGGCTGAGCAGTTTGAAGAATAGGTTACTACTGGTCAGTCTGAGATTTTGATGTCAGCACAGTTCCATCTGTACTCATGATATCTCTATGTTTTCTAAATTAATTTGGATTGTGGATATATATATATATATATATTAAATTTTGGGTGAAGCAAACAAGATTTAGGTATTTTTTAGGTATCAAGAAGTGTCAGCAGTGTATAAGCTAGTGTAGAAGTGAGTAAATAAGTATAATTATCAGTAACCATAGCAGCACTATTAATAAAAATCTTTCATAAATATTATTTATATTTATTTAATTATACAGTATTTACCCAAATATAAAGTAGGAGATTACTGAGCAACAGCAACTGATTTAGTCTTTGAATAAGTCTTTGAATAAGTGTCAAACTGCAGAAGAATTTCTGCAGAAGGGCCACACGCTGTAACTGAACCACACCCCAACCCTGTTTGGGGAAAGTGCCATGTAAGATGATTTGTGTTTGTCTGTATATGTGCTTGTGACACCTACCTGTTCATTGGCACGTGGCCAGAAGATTGCCATTAGGAATACAGCGGTAATGGGCGGAGCTAGAAAGCTGGTCACTGACTGAATATAATCAAACAGCTGTCCACTATTTGCTGTTTGGATGATTGGAATCCACAACAGACTAATACACACCAAGACCAGGATGAACACCCTGAAAATACACAAAATATTGTTATTATTTCAGCTTTAGATGAGGTAAAAAAAGAGTAGCTGTGAATTACTATGAATTACAGACTTTTTGGTTGTTTCTAGGTGTTGGCAAGCTAAGGATGACTCAGGATGACTCTCTTAGGTGTCTGTGTTTGTGTGTGTGTGTGTGTGTGTGTGTGTGTAGGCAAGGGGTGTATGTGCTTTAAGGTGCCAGTCACTGCAGTTTAAACAGTTTAGTGATCCACTGCACATTCTCATGACAATATTTTACATGAAAAATATTCAGTTTTTCTATTTATGCTTCATGACTTGCAGTACTTGTTTCCATCTTTATTATTAGGGCCTGAGCACAAATCGTGCGAAGGCCCTATTTTATCTGTAAAGGTTATTATTATTGTAATTGGAGGAATTCTTCTTTTTAGGGCCTGAGCACAAATTGTGCTCAGGCCCTATTGCCCTATTGTAATTGTAGGTAGTAGTAATTATTATTCCCAAATTTCAGATGACTTTTTGGAGGCTTTATCATATTCGAAAAGTCCTGAAAATCTGCGCACAGGTCAGTCGTGGGGGAACTTGGCGAATTTATGGGTCTCGGACATATGCGCAGAAAAATGCCTAGAAAGAACTAGACGCGTCATACCAACAACAACAACGGCGGACTACAGGCTTGTGGTAAATGGTAAATGGACCTGTACTTGTATAGCACCTTTCTAGTCTTCCGACCACTCCAAGCGCT